AGGAAATGGCAGTGTTGTCATGGTATTTGAAGAGTCTGTGCGTCTCTCTCACTTTCTTTCTTAGTTTTCTGGAGAGTTAATAACATCACTCATATCACACTCATTGAGTCCTTTCTCAGTCATTTCTTTCGCAATTTTCCGGAACTCAGAGAACCGAGGCGCACACGTCAGGTGGTTCTTGCCCAGCCGCACACTACCCGTCATGAGAAAATGTCCACTCCCATGCTTGACCCCGCACTGTAACGGCATGGAAACGGTTCCTGTGTGTCTGCCGTGCTTAGTATTTGTAAAAACTCCTTCAATCTGGCTGTAAATGGTTCCTATGGAGAGCTCAATTCTTGTCTCCTTCTCGCTGAGGTCATCCGAGACTTCTTTTATCTTGCTTTTGACAACTGTAAATGGAGAAATGAACACAAAATGTCAAGGAGAGGAGAGAACAAAAACATTCAAGCTATTGACTGAAGTTTCAAAAGCTTATGAAAACTCAAGTGTGATTATAAATTCTCTCCTGATATTTCCATCATCCCAAATCCAAAAGTTTTGTATGAAGTTGGGTTTTTCAATAGAAAAATAATTATAATCGTCAAAAATACAAGAAAAAAAAATGTTACTTTATTTTGCCAGTTGACAAAAAGCTGTGAAAGTTACTTACAAAAGATAAATGTGCAAAGACATTTTTATTAATATTTGTTAACAACTACGGTACTAAACTCGTTCACGAAAACTTTTCGTCTCATACCAAACATAGTTAGCACTTCTGATAAATGTCATACATATAAATTACTTAATTCCAGCTGGATATTTTCTAAGAGAAACATCTCCGTTTATCTGACCACTTTGATTGAGTTCTTAATAACAAATTCTTAGCATACAAAAATATAATGAGTCTGTCCTCGATTGTATCACTTTTTTCGTTAATTGGGAATGTTGGCCTTGTCGGCCTCGGCTCTACTCTTAAGAGATTTTTTTATATGCACCAGAAGAAATGATCTGTTGAAACATGATCTCAGATCATTTGAATAGTGAAATCACTGAACAAATCAACCATGCGACAAAAACCTGATAGAAGTACGCCAGGTCTTTAATGTCTTGAGGCCACAACTTCAGGAAAGTTAGTGAGCTTTGTTTTTCTGTTTTTGAAAATCTGCATATTTATTCTCAATTCAGGCAAATAATTTCAATCTCACTATTTTGTACTATGATTCTGAGATTTTTCAAAAAATAATGTCAAATTCACAGTATTGTCAACGACCACAATCAATGAATAACAATGACTGGATAACTATACATTGCACCTGCTAACAGATGCCCAATTGTTCTGCAGTACAAGTTGTGCAGCAGAAATGGCTCGTGCCACTGAACTGAAAATTGGGACACCCCCCCACAAGAATGGATTGACGCCGATCTATACCCCTGTGTTAGATGATTTTTCTCGTGTCAACAGTGTCTTTATTTGCGAGACAATAGATGGTGCATACGACAAGGCGGCATACGAACAATGTAATGAATTGTCCCGATCAACAACGGAGCACCTCCCGTGTGTGTCTACAGCTTTCCATTGTGTTCGGCATACGTTCCCGACTTTACACCACACTGCTGATCCTCAAAGACTCAGACATGCTTCACTACTTAAGAAACCAACTATTCATTCTAAATTCTTGAAATTTGCATGCTGTCAAAATTTCTATTACATTGATTGTTCCCATAGTTTTTTTTTTTTTTTTTTTTTTTAAACAATAATTCAATGAAGGATGCTTCGCTCACAACTACACCTGGAGCAGAATTGTCATGTAAATTGCCATTTAAAGAAAGCTTGGCTCAAAAACTTTAGAAATTTTCTCAAATCACCTTTTGTAGTATTTCTTTTTTTTTTTTTTTTTTGCCTTCTAAAATTAAACACATATCAGTTTTTACACAACACAACACAACACAACACAGCAATGCGAGTTCAGTACGGTGTCGTCAAGAAAGATGACCTGATTGCCGTTCACAAATTATGCTCCTACTTCACTGGTTAAGCAAGGGGAAATTAAAAGTTCAGCTCAAAGACAAATACACAAACAGTATTTGTAACATTAGACAGAAAGGCTGTACCATTTGTTTATGTTTGTGATCACAGTCTATAACAGTAATGCAAAGGCTGTACCATTTGTTTATGTTTGTGATCACAGTCTATAACAGTAATGCTAAGCTTTGGGGTTTAGCAGGGTTCTTATCTTCTGTAGTTGTAGTAGGACTTAACGAACTTCTTTACCAAGATCAATTTTAAGTTTTATAGAATCTGTTACTACTTGTAATTCTAGTATCAGTTTTAATTTTAATACTGCTCTTCTAAATTTTAAATAAAAAAAAAAGTCATTGATTACATGCATTTAAAACTTTTTTGTTTCAACTCTATTAAAGCCAGCGGACACGCATTCCATCAGACGGTGACATACTGCATAATACAACAGGGAAGGTATTTTCAACAATCACTGTCAATATTTTGAAATGGGTTTCCAAAAATAAAGTGTAAAATATTCAACTGTTTTTATGACCAGAATGGAATGCACGACTGTACTGTTTATCTGATTCGTCAGCTATGCTTGGGTGAATACTTACCAAAGTCACTGGCACAAAATGCTGTCATGAGTTCAGTCTCGTTACAAGGCCTGCAGTCTGCGGACAAGAAGAGAAAAACCATAGTGAGATAAGAACACTAAACTTTCTTTACATGGCTCATTATGAATATAACTGAAAAGTAAAATAATAAACAGATTTTTTTGATTATATATAACAATGGTACTGGAACACACCCCCCCCACCCGATTCAAAATTTGTTGTGCATATACGATAGTTCACGTACTTTAGTTGAACTTTGAGTCATCTTTCCCTATTTCAATTTTGAATTGTACTACTTGCATCAATAACTTTATGCATATCATTATTGGCTTTCCTCTTTGTGAATCTGTTTTTTTTTTTGTTTTTCGAGGACAAGAAAGCATTCCCTGAAACAGGTCCAAAACAATCCACTATAGAGAGCCATTGTTTTTGTAGCAAATATTAAGACATGCCACCACACTGGTACTTTTTTTAATCCTATTAAATCATGTTTATTTTTAATAAAACAAGAATTTCAAAATAACTTTCCCACCACAATTTAAGGACATTGAAAATACTTGTTAGATTTTTAGAAGTTCCAACACAGCAGGATTAAGTTTATAAATGGCCTTAATTTGACAATGAAATGACAATTGCTGTCTGTAATGAAGCAAGTTTTAATTGACAACTTGGGACATAACAGCATGATGCATCTTTTCTGCAACACTCGAGTACAAAAAAAGAATAATTTTTTTCTCTCTCAAGTACATGCTTGCCCCCCCCCCCCCCC